ACACATCCACACACGACACACACACACACCTCACCCCACACAAATACGCACACACACTCTCACACACACATACACACACACACCTCCCACACACAAATGCACAACACACACTCACATATACACACACGCACACACACACACACACACACACACGCACACACACAAGTACATGCACACTCATCATCCACACAAACAAAGGAAGTTACCAATGGGCAGCTGCCGGAGAATGGTGTCTATAAAGCGCATGGTCTTCTTGAAGTTTGCTCGGGTGACGCTGCTAGACGAGTCCACGACCAGGGCGACATCCAGGCGGACATGTTCGCAATCTGGGCAGATTAAAAGCAAAGACACATTAGTATTTTCTCTATGTTGCTATGCTCAAATCGTGTGACTGTCGGACATGTTCGGAATCTGGACAGATCTGAACAAAAACATATCTCTTTCGTATATTGCTCAAACGTGTAAAACCGGAACATGTTCACAATCTGGGCAGATCAAAACAAAAACATTTTATAATTACATCAGTGGTGTTACGCCCAAATCATGAAACAACCGGACATGTTCGCAATCTGGGCAGATCAAAACAAAAACATATCTATGATATTACCGCATACTCAAAACGTATAATGTCAGAATTGATCAAAGCAAAGACACAATTATTATCTCTATGGTGGTAATGCTCAAAAGGTGTGACAACCGGACATGTTCGGAATCTGGACAGATCAGAACAAAAACATATTTCTAATACTATGGTGTAATACTCACACCATGGAATAGCTGGACATGCTCGCAATTAGGACGCATCAGAGTGAAAACATTTTGTATTATGCTCAAACCGTGTAATAGTTAGATATGGTTGCAATCTGGACAGATCAGAGTAAAGACATATCTCTATGGTTGTGCTCAAACCGTGTAACATTTGGACGTGCTCACATTCGCAATCTGGAGAGACCAGAGCAAAGACATCTCGATGCTGCTGTAATAAAATCGTGTAACTAGAATAATAAATAGGCTATCCCCTTTTCTTTTTCCCCCCTTTTAAAACCATTGTCGAGGTCAATTTTCAGGTCTCAAGTAAAACTTGGACATATTCGAGCAAAGAGGATATCTAAATTCCACTAGATCTATATCGTCGGTCGCCTGATGAAATCGTGAATTCCACACGAAGCAAATTTTACAGGAGAGGGAAAAAAACTGATTTCCTCCGTCATTTGGCGTTCAAGACATAAACTAAAAGGATAAATCTAGTCAATTACCTTTTAGAAAAAATACTGTTGTACATTTTTTTCCGTAAATGTTCATTTTTTCGGAAAAGTGTGGTATGCACGATTTTCATTTGAAATAGGTTACATGTTCTGAAAAATGCCATCATCGACGTTGTTCAGTTGCCCAAAGTCACAGGCATTGGCCATTTAGGATATGCTTGGAAACTTGACATTCAGATAATCCTATGACGTACGAGTATTGTTCCTGCGCGGTAAGATTACAGTATTTTACAGTCGTCAATTGGGCGATATCAGTATCGCCCTTCGGCTGTACACCTAAATCTTCAAGGAACACGTGAATTGGTTTAAGAAAATCCGAGTAGTAAATTGCGTTATTATGTCAGACTATATAGAACAATAAATTATTATGGAGACAATCGTAGTAGATCTACACAACTCAATATTATTCATCAAAATCTTGGGCTTACAAGCTCACCTATTACCGTTGATTTGCTTTGCTTTTGTACTCATATTCAAATTGAAAAAGTCTATGAGAAATGATGTAGTATAATCTGTTTCTTGAACAACCATTTACACCTTTCAAGAACGATTAAAAAAATAAAATAAAGTAAACTGAACAGATTTCAGGTTTCATAAATGTCTCAGTCATAGCGAGCTCTTCCTCTAAACCAGTGATTGACAAAAAGGATGTAATACCAAAAGTCTACAAAGGAAGAAGTAAAAAAAAATGTCTTTACTTAATGTGGGTCATTTAGCCAGTTTGAGGATGATGGTGTTAATTTAATTCTTAGACCCGTCTATCAAAGCTATACTGAAAGACGATTATACCAATGAAACCAGTCACAACTTCCGAAAAGTGCACTTAACAAGTGACCAATGTTTCCATCTTTAAGAGACTAAATGTTTTGTACGCCCAACAGCACGTATTTTCAAGCATGTCATTAGATAACAGGCTACCTATCACTACCATTGATGACCCCCGCCGCCCAGTCTTGCAAGCCCTATTCTAAACGTAACTTACCAGTCAAAACTAAAGAGACCCGAATCACGTATAAATCTCAGGGTGCCCCCCCCCCCTTTCCGTTTTCCCTGTTATCAGAATGCTTCCAGAACACCGATGTTATAAAATAGAGAACAGATAGTCATAAACAACGATTCTTTCAAAATAGTGTGTGATAAATAACTGATGTCTGCGTGTTTTTGAAGGATGTGACATGTTTTATGATCAGCTTTTATTTTCTCTTCATATTGAAATTCTTTTTATGAAAGAAATTTAATAAACAATTTAAATTTTATGTAGGCTGCATCAGCGTGGGTGCCTATATGTTTTTACATTTCCAGTAAAGCCACAAAAAAGATTTCCCACCGGGACAGTGACGTATTGTTTTATCTTATCTGAAGTTACAAAAGACGTATAGACGTTTACGATCTAGAACAAACCAATAAGGATTGAATTTACGTTAACTTTGTCAACGTCATTCAAATACAACGATAGGAGCGTTTTGTGAACAAGTCTACTTATATCAGACAGGTTTACAGTATGCGCAGAAGTTAGTTAGGAGTCACATCCATAAACAAGAAGCTGCACAAGCAGTAAAACTACACAACAACAACAACAAAAAAAATAAAAACAACATCAACAACAACAACCATAACAACAACAACAACAACAACAACAACAACAACAACAACAACAACAACAACAATAACAGCATGCAGTATCCGCAACAGCAGGAGCGATAACAATAGCTTCAGCAAATGGAGCACTCTCAACAACATCAACAACTGAGATGAAAATTTTAAAACAACAAACCATCGTCACTTGAAACTGGTTCAGGTTTTGCGGCAAGAGCAAGCAGAAGAAGTACAGCACACACAGAAGTCCTCATCTTTACGATCGGCACGGGCCAGGGATCTCCTCCCTCAACTGTTTTTTTCTTCACGTTTTGTTTAGTTTTGCTTATCTATTTTTTTTCAAAACCCAAAACACAGCTTCCTTTACATGGGCATCAGAATGATTTGGACTTTCAACTTCTTTTTCGAAAAAAGGGAACTGTTTTCTCTGCTTCGAGCTTGGCTTTCTTCTCTGCCGCAACTTCCGATAAAGACTGCAAGAGATTTTGGGGGAAACTGCGTCCTTTTAACGATATTATAATACCTTTATACTTTTCAGACTGATGAAATAGGAATAATCTTAGGCCTTGGTGTAAAAACGTTCAATTAAATTATTTTGCTTCCTTGTTGCTATCCTCCGAAAATCTCAAATGTGGAACGATCACACGCAACAGAACTTGTGAAAGTCTGACAAGAAAACAGCTTTTTACAGAAAGGATGGAAAGTTTTCTTCTGCAATCAGAAAATATAACAGCTCAGAATATGATACAGCTCAGGAGGTTGTTGTATACACAATGATCACTCTAGGCCGTATCTTGTTCGATTTATTTCAAATTTGACAAACGGTTCGAAGAAATTTTGATAAAGACACCCAAGAGCAAGAAAGACACAAACTTTGCGGATTATCAAGAAAAAAGTGAACTTTAAGAAACCTCCAGGCGAGTTAAGCGTGTGTACTGGAGTAAGCTTATCCAAGCTCAAGTGGTTGTCAGAAGAAAACAAGACGTAAAGATTGTTGCTTACGTCAGTGCACGTCGTCCGTGAGCGGTACTGACTTCTCCAAAATAACAGTCGCACGAACTACTCAACCTGTATGGTAATTAATACGTCAGGACATAATAGCCAAGTATTACGACATAATAATATTATGGTATATTCTAATAAAGTAAACGATGAGGAATATCCGTATTATGAAATGGAAATTAGGTGAAATAATAGAATACTGCTTTGAGTATGTATTTCCTGTTTACACTCTTATTTTATGAAACGGAGATGAAGTGAAATGACAAATTCCTGTTTTCTGTTTACGTTAACGTAAACAGTGATTTAGTGAAGTTTCCTGTTTTCTGTTTCCATTAACGTAAATGGAAGATAGTGAAATCGCAGATTCCTGATTTCGGTTCCCTCTTTTCTAAATGGTGATCAAATGAAAGAATAGATTAGTGTTAACTACTTTTACACTACTGCTTATAGGGATTGCGTTGGGCGTGAGTGGTAAGAATGTATTCTCCCACACGCCCTCACTCACAACCCAATAGCTGATTTGGTCGTTTAAATGCGTTGAAGTCAGCGTCACCGATAAATCAGACCACCTAAACTTAGAGAGTTAGAGATGTTCGATACTTGACCTCAGAGAGAGTTGAATAGTAATAGTGGCCACTTTGGAAAGTCTCAAGACGACTATATATATATATATATATATATATATATATATTTGAATTACCAGATAGAAAAGCGCAAGGAAGCTATCCATGGGAATCCAATTTATAGTTTGACCGGCTACGAAAGACCCAGGAAATAACCCCAATAAATGTGCATCAGTATTAATTTATTACTGGCGATCGGTTTGGAAAGACCCAAGAAAATATGCTCCAGAATCCACTTATTCGAATAACCATTCCGTGAAGAGAATTACATTATTTGGAGCCGAAAAAGGAGAGGGAAACAGAGAAGGATAAGGATAAAGATGAGTAGAAAGGGAAGGAGTGGGAGAAGGAGAAAGAGAGAATGTGAAAGAGACGGGGTGGGAGGAACAAGGAGAAGTAAAAAATAGAAGAACAAAGAGAAAGAGAGTGAGGAGAGAATGAGAAGGAGAAAGAGAAAGAAAAGATGTGAGAGTAGGGGGAAAAGGATTAAGAGAAGGAGAACATTAGCAGACTAGATTGGAGAGTTCACCAGCCGCACACGC